TGGGAGGCCTTAGAAGCGGAGACGTCACGTGAATGACGACGGCTGGCAGGCGAGTGGTGGCGGTTGACAACAACGTCGGTTGGGTGGAGGGCGGCGACTGCAATAGGTCGGGCGGCGGCGGACAACGTCCTGTGTTTTGTGGTGGGAGGTGGGCGGCGCCGACGGGCTAGGTGAAGGCTTGTTTCGGTGTTTTAAAAACAAGAAAAAAATATATATTTTTTTCTGTTTTTAGTAATTAAATACATAAGCGTTCTGCCAAAATAGAAAATAGAAATAAAACTAAAAAAATAGATAGACAAACAATGTTTTTATGTTTGTTTCCTATTTTTTATTTTCAAATACGAAAAACAAAAAACAAAAATTAATCCCAAACAACCCCTAAATTTTATAGTAATTTTAATTACCTATCAAAATAAGCTATTAATTAATATTTTAATATTAATTAATTAATTAATTAATTAATTTTTGTTAAGCTAATAAATCATTAATTATAATTATGCAAATTAATTAATTAGTAACTTCACTTTAATTTAATAACACCTTTCATAAAATACGAACTTTATATATCATTCTTCAATAAATTATAAAGTTAACCAAATTTTAATTTTTGGTCATTCAACTGATAAGAAAATTCTAGTTTAATTATTTAAGCTTTTTTCTTTGATTAGAAACATAATTAACTAATTTAATATAATTAATTAAATGAAATACCTATTTTTGTTAGCTTAATCCCCATTATGATCCTTGCAATAATATTCTGAAATCCTTAATCTAACTTCCTCCTTTGGCTCCCTACTTGGAACCCTCACTCCTTATCAGAGATCCTCTTCTTCCTCTCTCCTTACGCTCTTGGCTGAAACCCTAGACAAAGAATCATGATGAGGCTTCTACTCAAGCGATAGGGATGAGAACGAATCGAGTCGAGTTGAGCAGGGTTGTGTTCAAGGTTGCTGAAATCAAGCTTTTGCGATTGCGTTTAACCTTGAGCTTGTTTATAAAATTTGAGCTTGAGCCTCAAATCAAGATTTTTTTTAATGTTCAAACTTAGTTCATTTGTTATTCTGATTGTTTGAGTTTGATTCATATTCCTTTTATATGATGATAACATTATCGAGCAATTTAACAAGTTATATTATCGGGCAGTTTATCAAATGAGACTTACAAACAAACTAATGAACAATAAAAATTGAGCTATTTATTTTCTAATTAAATGAGTTTTATTGAGCTTATATGTGCGTTACTTGTTGAACATGGAAAGACGGGAGCATTTAAATGAACAAGAACAATTAAAATAAAGATATAAATATGCAAAATAAATGGGCAACTAGACAAATAAGTCTTTATCTTATTTTACATATTATAAATTAAAATTTTAATTTAATTTAACATAAACGAATTGTAAATTGAGTTTGCTCTCAAGCTTTAAATTAAGCTTTAACTATTTTTTTTCATAACTAGTAAATTGAGATTATTCGCGAGCTTATTTACAAACTTTAAATGAAATAGTTTATCGAGCTTATGAGCGTGTTTGCGTGCTTCAAATGATATTGTTTGCGAACATATATGAATTGAACATGTAGTTGTTCTAATTTGTTCATTTATTAATCGAGTTTCCATGAAAAAGTGTTCAAATTTATTCACTTAGTTAATCAAATGAACTTGAATGGGTTCTTATCAAACAACTTTACTAGTAGCATGCCAAACACCCTGTCACAATTTTGCCCGAGGCTTGAAATTAAATAAAACGGGAACAGATGGTCGGATGGTGGAAACTGGATTTTTTATATTCATCTACAACTTAACAAATGAAAGCACAACTAATCAAATTAAAATAATATGTTTAAAATTACATCGTGGATTTTTTATATTCATCTACAACTTAATAAATGAAAGCACAACTAAT